AAGGAATATTTCATATACGTGCTAATGCAGGCACTGGATGTTGCCATTGCCAAGGCCACAAGTCATGATGAAGCATTGCCCAAGGAGAAACATGTTTTAAGTATGTGAAACTTCTTTCTTCCTGGCCAACATGCATTTTCTGTGGAGTTTATATATGGTTGTCGTTCGGTCGTATACAGTTTGATCCATGGTCTGCAAATTCCTGTTGATAGCGAAATTGACCGTTCAATTTTTCAGTACTTTTTTTCTTTCTTAATTGCACGGATAAAATGCAGGGAAATATTGCAGCAATGAGTGATTTCAAGTATCTAATATATGTCGATACAAAAAATGACAAGTTTATTATGTATAATTTTGAATGATGTACACATTTGCTTTGTTGAGTTGATTTCTGAACAAAATTCAGTTCCAAAAATATTTTATTTATGGGCTATTGCTTTGAGTTAATCATTGTGTTCTTCTGTTGCCAGCTATACTAAATGCAGTTTCGGCATTTAGACCTCGTGCTGAAGCTGCTTACTGCATCCATGGTCTTGCAAGGCGTCTTAGTAAGACTCACAATTGGAAGGTATGTCCCTGATGACCTTGGTTCAATTTTCTTTTTACTAGAGCAAGGATATTATACAAATACTAGAGCAAGAAATGGAAAAAAAGAAAGAAGAAAAAAAAGGCCATGCAAGTTTCTTTATTCAATACCTACTTTTTAACTTCTCGTTCCCTATTGCTGATAAGATTGTTTTATTACTTATATTGCTGCTTCAAACTCCATATGGTTCTTGTTTATGATCTCCCTCTGAAAAGGACATCCCCTTATTTGTTAGAATATGAATACAAACAATCTCAGCTTCCAGTGTATGCCTAGGTAGCACTGAAGACCGTGATTATTGTACACCGTGCTTTGAGGGAAGTTGATGACACATTTTGTGACGCTGTAGTCAAATATAGCTGGAGTAGAGGTCATATGCTGAATTTATCTCATGTTTGGGATGGATCAAGTTCAAGTGGTATGATTCCTTCTGAAATCTTTTCTTTCAAACAAGGGTTTTTAGTAGCGGTAACTGACTATGGAGGTATATTTGGCATGAAGCATTGGATTTTTCTGCTTGGGTGCGGACGTATGCATCATACCTTGAAGAGCGTTTGGAGTGTTTCCGCGTATTGCAGAATGATGCCCAG